TTTGTCGCAATCCGAAGGAATAACGATAAAAATAAAATCAATAAATTTCTCGATAAAATGTCAAAAATGAATTCTCATAGATAATACACAATATATATTTTACTTTTTTCTTTTAGGTTTTTATTGATTTTATTATGTTTCAGTGGTCATTTTTGAATAATTAAATAATCGTTTATTTCTCTATTGCTGGTCGAGAATATTATTTGCAGTTATTATAAAATAAGGTTATTTTAATATAATTTCTTGTATTAAGTTGATTTTCTATTGAGAAAATAAAAAGAAAGAATTACTTCCATGAATCAAACAATTAACTCGTTATTTATTAGAGATGGATTTAATAATGAGTAAAGTTTTATTGAAAAAAAGTAAAAACTCTATTGAAATTTTTTGTTTCTTTTAAAAGTTTTTCTGAATGTTATTAAAAATGAAAAATATATTAATCATACATGTAAATAATGGAATGGACAATAAAATTTACTTTGAAAACAATTTCAAGTATGGATAATATTTATCAGACTATTTATTTATACAATTAAAGTTTAGTTTTTTGTTTTTTGAAAATAGGAATTAGATGATGTTGAAAATTAATCAAAAATGTTTTATTGATTAAAAATATCTATATTCTATTGTTCATCAAGATGAATATATATCGAAAAATAAATAAATTTATTGTTTGATTATCTTTTGTAAAAATCTAAACTTCAATTTAATTAGATAAACAACAAATAAATGAGAATAATCTTCAAGAGTTTTCAAATCTATCTAAATGATTTATTTTAATTTATTCTTTTTATTTTCAATCAAAAAAATAAAATATAAAAAGAAAACGATGAAATATATTTCTAACAATAGAATTTAATAAAACAAAAATAACATAAATTTCTATTATTATCTAAGATAGAAATCGATCTAAATAATTTTCATGATCGATCACAACGACGATATAGTCAATAACATTTACTTGAAAAACAAATTTTTCTCAAAATAATAATTTTGTATTTTTTATTTTTGTTAAGATTTATTTGTATATAAATCAATTGATAATGATATATCATTATTAATATATTTCTTATCTGAAAAATAATTTCATATTATTTAAATAAATATAATTTTAATTATTCTTTGAATATATTTAATTAAATTATATACTATTCTCATCATTCATATTTATCATACTGTTTATGATAATATTAAACAATGAATTAATTAATTGAATTCAAACACTATTTGTCAATCTATTCAAACAATTAAATCATTGAATAATCATAATTTTAATAAACAATGAATATTTCATTTTAAATTTATTTTATTATATTTAGCTATTATTTTTAATTATATAAATTTAAATAGATTATATCCTTTCTAATAGAAAAAATAATAAATCTATTATTATAGGAGAAATTCTACATAAAAAAATCGCTAATATCATCAATTAAATCCTTACAAACAGAATGAATTAAATAATAATTTATACGTAAAAATGATAAATATATATAAGATAAATTTCAACAATCGAATAATTATTTATTCATCATTTATATTACTTGACATTCAATATGTATTTTATACTATAGTACCGTCAGTTATACAATAATTCTTGACAAATATCTCGAATTACTCTTTCAATAACATAATAATTATCTTGTAAAAAAAAACAACTCTGTTCTGATGGCTAATATATAATTGATTGATATCAATAAAGAATTCAAACAATCATACGAGAAAACTGAATATCAAATTAGCCTTTTGATAAAAATACAGTTAAGATTTGTCTTATGAAGGTATCTTCTCACAAATGAACTTTTATTTTTCAATGAAATTCAATTAAAATTTTAGAGAATGTTAATCTTGGCTAAAGTAGATTAGTGGTAAAATATTTCCTCAAATCTGCAAGTTAGTCGATTTATTGATCACAAGTATATTGTATGAGGAAAACAAATTCATAATAAACTATGCAAGTTAACATGCTTGAATAGTTTTTAGGTTGTAAATTGCCTTTAAGGTTAGGCTTTAACAGTGACCGATTTTTAATTTTCCTTCCTTTTTCTTATAAAAATTGTTGAATTCATGACCAAAAAAAAAACACTGATCACAATGAAAGATCTACGGTTTTTATTTGAGCAAAAGAGAAATTGAAAAATCTAGCTTTGTAACGACTTAGACTTACTTGTCACAATATAAAATCACTTTTCTTTTCAATATGGAGGCTCAGAAAAATTTATGGAATCTTCTTAAACCTTATTGAAAATATAATCAACTCTATTGTATTCGAAATTAGACATTTTGATTTATTAAACAAACTATTAATCTTCTCTGAAGGAAGATGAGTCCTTGAACAATATCAATATACTGGATCTATTTATAGGTAATATCTCAAAACGCAAACTATTTTAAAAATCAAACAATTATTTTTTGTTTTTACTTTGACATAAAATATATTCGATTACAATCATTTGATAATATATGACTTTTAAATAGAATATGGACTAGTTGAGAATATTGTCTTTCAATTGTAGAGTTTATCATCATCAATGAGTAATCAATAGACTTTGGATGGATGAATAAAATAAATATTCTGCTAATATAATTCGCGTTTTTTTTTAGGATTATTCGAAAGAAACAAACGTATCTTCTTCAATTTGGAAAAAATTAAATGAATCAGAACTTTGACCATTAATAACAATGAAAAATCATTCAATATCTATAATAGATGATCAAGATATAAACTCAACGTGATATTGAACAAAAATCAAATGATAAAATGCGACAGAATAAGAATAAAAGAACGATAATTGATACTGATTTATTAATTTATCGTTATCGTTTAAGACAAAGAGATGATCGAGAAAATTTTAATAATTTTGAGTATTTATCTGAATATGAAGATCTATGATTAGATTTATTTTTTGTCAAAAATATTAATCAAATTAATTAGTAAACAATTGTTTTTATTCGAGATAAATAATGAAAAACTAAAAATAATTCTTCTTATTATCATAACTTTATTATTTAAAATAAAACAGAGTAATTAGATAATATTATCTTTAGATGAAAAACATCACTATTTATATTGAATTGATATGTCATGTATAGAATTGATTGTCAAGAATTGGAAATTAATCGTATTTTATTTCCGTAATCATCTTTTTATTTAAGAACCTTAATTGTTTTTTTTCTTTCTCTAAATAGATATTTTTTATTTTTGTCTACCATTTATACGATAAGAATGTCAAAAATTTAATTTCAATTTGAACAATCTTCTTAAAAGTTCATTTAAAACCTTGTCCATTTAGCTACTGCTCATTTCCAATTAAAAGGTGAATGGGTATTTTTTGAATAAATTTTGATAGAATCGCTATGGAGAGTTGCAATTTTCACCTTTAATAAGAAGATGAAGACGCATCAAACTATATCTTACAGAATAATTTGACATAATTAGTTTTATTATGGAGTTAAATCGACGTTTTTGAAAATGAACATACTTCTTAAGTTGTCTAAGACAAATTATTAATAATCAGATACGCATTCGAATTGCTAAATGAAGATCTATAAAAATAGACAACGCTTACCAGTTCAAATGTAATAGACATTTTATGTGAAACTCTAGGTCAATTTTTTTTTCTTATTTTAAGAGAAACCTATAATACACCATTCGGTGCGTCTTGAGGGTGTGGGTGGGTGTGGGTGTATGATTGTGGGTAAAAAATAAAACAATCATCAACATCTTCACCCCACAACCACACAATGCATACCTACACCCACTCATTCCCACACCTACCCACACCCACACCAATATCCACATCCGTCGAAGGCCTCGATATTATCATAAATGCAGAATACTCAAAGCAGCAATTAAGGATGCATTATAAATCGTTCTACTATATAATCATATGCAAAACATGGTCGATTCATTCCGCGAAAATGATCAATATTTTGCTATTCGATTCAGCGACTGCTGCATGTTGGCTACAGATTCAACGTAGAAGCAGCACTACAGGTAAATCGAATAAGCAGGAAGTAGTACTAAGCAAACTTGATATGTATTCACGGAAAAGCAGAGAGCGCTATTAACGTATGATATCTCGACAATATTATGAATATTCGCAAAATAAGTCACCGAGTGTTTACCTTTATAATACATGTTAGAGCTAGAATGCATCGTTTTTGAAATTCTTGACGATGGCTTATGTTGCGATATTCATTTCAAATTTTAGTCGTGAAGAAACAATCAGGGTGTGGGTGTGGCTGTGGGTGGGCGTCGGCGAGTGTGAGTGGGAGGGGGGGGGGGGGGGGGGGGGGGGGGGGGGGGGGGGGGGGGGGGGGGGTATGGGTGTGGGGTATGGATGAGGTTAGTGTGTCGGTATCTATGTGAATCTTCAATTAGCCAACACCCACACCCGCTGAGACTAAAGGAGTGCATTAGTTAGGTCTCATTTGCGAGCAATGTGACTGAAGAAATAATGGGTAGCCCATCCTTCAGAATACTTAGGCAATTGAACGCATGGATTTATGGATGCTTGTTTATGTTTCACGCGTTTTCTTGAGGACATCCTAGTTTTGCCAAGAAATATGAGCATGATTTTTAGTGTTTCGATCTTGAAAGATTTTGAAGGACACCATGAAGAAGAAAGAAAACTTAACGAATTATCAATACGTACGACCACAATTAATGGAACTAAAATAGCTGATGATGTATGAAAGTTTCATAACTTCGAAAAAGTTTTAATTTGTTTTCGAATGTTTTCTATTCGGTTCAGAAAGACAAAATCAAAAAATTAGAAAATAGAAAAACAAAGTAAATAAATGAATGAATAGAAGAAATAGATAAAAAGAGAAAAAACTCAGCAAATAAGAAAAAGAATAAGAATAGAATTAAGAAAACAATAATAATTAATGTAAAAACGATGTTTTTTCTAACGTTAACGACTACAATCATATTCAATGTTTTATATTTCAAACGGGAATAATTGTGCTCAGTTACAAAACGTTGAGTTTAATGATTAACACATTGGCGTAGTTCCCAGCTGGAGAGCTAATTCCAGAGCGGCCTTAACAGCTTCAATTTGGGCTAGAATATCCATCCTCACAATACCAGTAATGATAGAGATAGGGATTTGTATACCAGCTAGAGCAGCCCGGCCAATGTACGCTGCACATGTTGTTTGGTCTACTGCACATATGAGACCGCAACTCACTGGAGTGCTAGCTGGACAACTTTGCCAACACACTGGACCGACACCATTCAAGCCATCCTGACACTTAGGGTAACATAAGCCAGCATCCTGTTCTTTATCATCGGGGCATTGTAGACGGGAAGCACCTACACCACGACCATAGGTTGATTTGCCACATGAGATTCCTATGTCATTCATTCCTTCAGGACATTGAGGACTACAGATACAACATCCAGCACTTTGAAATCCAGATTTGCATTTTGGATACACAATGGCACCTGATTTTTCACAATTTCTAGCACCATGATCTGCTTCACAGCGTTCATACATTCCATGATCATTGAAACCATCACCAAATTTCCAAGGGTATCCAGTACCTCTGCCATAAGATTTTGGCTTTATACAAGTAGCAACTCCATCATCAGTGTATTCAGCAGGACATCCTTTTGCGCAACAAAGACAGCATCCAACTGCTTCAAAGCCATCCCTACATTTCGGATAACACAATGCGCCATCCTGTTCTTCATCATCATGACATTTTGTGATGAGTGCAGTTCCTACTCCGCGTCCATCACCCTTCCTCCAGCATATCTCATGTGTGCTACGCAATGATACTGATACTTTAAGGGAGCCATCAACTCCAAAATCTTGTGCCAGTCTGCGGTGAGTCTTAGTTAGTGCACCTGAAATTCGGAAAATCGAAAAAAGTTAGTATTTAATGAGATATGTCTTAGAAATGTTCATAAATATTTCTGCTTCTCATTGTGCCTAGGTGACATCCTAATTACCAAAGGCCAAAGAGTACACTTCTGAAATTTTTCTCACAAACATATTTTCTGTGCCATTTATTTACCTGATGTGAAGCACATTCCATACTGCACAAAGTTAGTTTCATATATAACTAATACATAGATAAGCAGTAGTGTGCGCATACTTGGTTATAAGAAGACTCTAAAACAACGTAATAAAACTGACCTATAAAGTTATTGAAGTATAGTAGCGTACAAAAGCAATAGGCCATTCAGCTTAACCCTTCGTTGTCTTTGACTAAATCTGACAGCGTGAAAGAAAAAGTCTCTCAATAACATGAATGTTGTGAATCCTAGTATACACAGAAAAAACTTGAACCAAATTCAACAAACGGGCCTTTCTTATGAATTCTAGTGCATGCAATAACATTATGTATTGAGTGGACGCCAAAAACATAATTACTTTTATGATAAAGATTAGATTTAGATTGTTGATTTGAAGTTCGCAATCGATAGGCTTTCAAGTTGATATCAAATCTGTTTCTAAATATATCTTAGTTCAAGAGAGCTAAATTTTTAAAAAATAGCCGTTATACCGCCCAAAGTGTACGAAAGGTTTAATACAAAATCAATATTAAATGTCAAAGCATTAAGTTAATTTTTTAATTCTAACATAAAAGTATTAAATTATTTTTTTAATTGAATACACAAGTATTAACATTTTCTTAACAATCATGCTGAGCCGACGCCTCTAGCGCTGACAAAGAGAAATCTACATACAGATTCAGCAGCTTTCGCATCCACATCTATAGCCATACCTATACCCAGACCTAGCATCAAACCCAGACTCACACTATACAATCAATATATATCTACCAAATGCAAAAATTTCACTGCAACGAAGTGTCAAACACTAACATTAATTTAAAATTAAGGTTAAAGTGATCTATGAACGCTTAATATAAAGTGAACTATCGTTAAACAGAAAACTTAATCCTTCATATCAAACGTTATATGATAACATTAGTTAGCTTTCAAATTACAAAAATGCTTCGCTCCTAACTCTAATACTGATGAGAGAGTCTGCTATGCATTTTAACAGTGAGGCCAAGTTTTATTTGATTATCTCTGTTTGATAGCATACGAAAGATTTATATCAACGATATTTGTAGAAAATGGCTTCATTTTTTATGAGCTACATGATCTTTTACTCTTCATGAAACGCTAAATGAGAGATGGAATCAAAGATCTTGATGACACACTTTTAGCGTCGGTTTCGACTTCAATAATTACGATACAAGTTTGAAGATCTGATGAGACTGGGCTGGTGCTATGTCTCGTTGGAAAAAACTGTTCCAACCAAACGTACACATTATGGTTTTAAACAATTTAACTTATAAATCATGCCAATCTAAACCTGATTCACGAAAGACGATCTAAAAGCGTTAGTCATCGACTGAATCAAGAGACAAGCAAATGTTAAACAATGTTTTTGATGCTTATACGAACAAGTTCTATAAATGGTTTTCATAACTCGGGATCAGGCCGGAACGAGACTCAAGTTACTGAGATCATCATCGACACTACTGGAAAGAAAGCTTCCAGGATTTGGATTAAAAAAATACTTGATTGTTCGCATCCATAGACGAAACTCTTCAATATTTGATTCAAAAAGTTTTAAAAAACAATGATCTCTAATAATAATTATGAAAGTTGAAAGTACCGAAAGTATAGAAACCGTTATTGTCATTAATATGGGTTGTTGACGCGAAAAACTTTCTACGATCAAATCAAGATTATTCTGAGAAAGAGAATCATTACTACTTTCACGTCTGTTTTACTAACGTACTATAGCATAGAACTCAGAGCCTTCAAATTGGATATGTTTTGCTAGTAGAGCTAAAAGATAAATTCTTGCGATTGGAAAGTAAGTTCTACTTACATGTTTGCGTGTGAATTTTTTAACGGCGACAAGTGTTTATATACTAGTAAAATACTAACTGGAGTGCTTCCGCGAATTTCTCTGACTGGTGATTTTTAATAAACATGTAAATTTTCAATCATTTGATACATAATAGCCACCGTTTTATGGAATCAAAAATTTTATGCTTAACTGTACCTGCAAATATATTACCATTTCAATATCGACACAACCAGTTTATTACAAATAGTTTGATCGATGGAATGCATAATCAAGAATGAATGTAAGATTGAATATGCGTGTATGTCAAAATATGGGTTATCTTGAGGGTGTGGGTATGGGTATGGGTGTGGGTGAAGATGTGGGTATGGGTGGGTGTGGATTAGTTTTAAGAAGACCTACGACTATAGTTTCGACCTTCCTCAAGGGCCGATCGCCAGGTAGTTTTAGCACTGCATTATTTTATAATTTAAATTGAGAAGTAGATGAACTTCTCACGTTTAATTTATAAACGTAAAGCAAAGCAGAGATTTCTTAAACATAATAAGGTGTGTATTAGTTTTAAGAAGATCTACGACTATAGTTTCGACCTTTCTCAAGGGCCGATCCTCAGGTAGTTTTAGAACTGCATTATTTTATAAATTAGGGTGTGGGTGTGTGCATAAGTTACCACTATAACCTGTTGCAAAGATTATTTCGAATGTTTCTAACTCAAATTCTTATCAAGTGGCCTCGGTACTAGTATATTTGATCCAAAGAATCTGAATCAATACATAATACCTGAAAATCTACTAAGTAATAGTAGATACACGTCCAAATAAGTGGGTGTGTTTGTATAGAAGTGACTTGTTCTAGCAAGTCAATCCAAAGCTAGCAAGCCCGATTTCGATTACTGCTAAAGTAATCATTTATCAATTGCTTCCGATTTGAAGGATGTTACAATGATATATAACTCTCCTACTAGGAGTTACTCATGTCAAAAGTTTAAAAGAAAAACTTCCAAGCAATGTAATAACACCTAATTTACTATCATCTAAAATGTTTTAGAACAAACTTCCAATGACAGATTAAGAGATTTTCCTCCT